ATTTGGCACGCCCACTTCGAACAAACTCGCAACCAGTCAACGAGACCGCCTCCTTCAATATTTCGTTAACTACACTAATAAATTGTTTCACACTGCTTTTCTAAAGAGTGCGAATTATAAAGATCCACAGGAGAATTGTGACATGGCAGAATTACGGAAGCATATCACTGATATCAGGGCACCGCAATAACGCCTCACCGCCCCAGTGCCTCTGACAAAAACCCGACCGCGGAGACGCACGTGCGGAGTAAGACATGTGGCGCCATCTACCGAGAGGTAGACGTACTACTCTGCATCTAACGTACAGTGCCGCCGCGAGGTGTCGCTGACCCCTTCAAAGAGAGCTACGAAAAGCTACCAAGGAAAATTTCTCATTAAACGTTTGCGCTGATGTGATTGGTCCGGGTAATTTTGAGGCACATTTTGGAGCAGACAAGTTCGTTTTAGAACTGCAAAGTAACTTTTGGAGCACAAACATTTCCTACACCATTGTTCGCCTCTAACTAAAAGGCAATGCCTACCTCGATTTCCGACTCCTATGCAAGTGCCCATCAGCACCCATTAAACAGCCGACAGTTGGATTTCCTAACACTTTGTTTAGTTTTGCTTTACCCTTTGATGCCCTGCGTTGCCCAGGAGCACCAACTCAAGAATTATGTATTTTCTCCGTGCCACGTGCGCCTGAATCAATTTAACGCCCTCTGTCGCAAGGGCGAGAACACCTGCACTTAGCAGTGTAGGATCGAAATTCAACTTCAAACCCATCATTCCTTCAAAACCAAAGCCGGCAGTGAAATTACGGCGTGCACCACTGGCCTCAAAACTGCAAGAAGAATGACCAGCACAAGTACTACAAATTCAGTTATACCCTTCTAGAGCTACTGTGCGAAATTCGAAATGCGCCTGGGGCTTCTCCCATCTCGGAACTGTTTTCATTCGTTCGACGTAAAGTAGTGCCACAAATGCACAATGTTACCCCCAAGCAACATTTTGAAAACATGCTTAAGTAAGAAAAGTACTTTTTTTTTCCGAGGCAAATACCTGTTTTTTTGTGTGTTTTAAAACCATGTCAGGGTTTCTATGTCCCTAGTATTCCAGGTAAAGTTTTGGGCACAAAAAAAGCTAAAGGTGCCAAGAAACAATTTTTCTACTTTCGCTAAATACTATTCAGAATCATTCCCTGACATTAATAACGGAATAAATTTGCCTTAGTTTTTCTTTGTAAGCAATGGCAGTCGGGAAATGAATTCTGAGAAATATGCGCATCGTTCATCTTCTGAACGTGGAACCAGAACAAGTGGCCACGCGGCCTAATGCCTATCCATACCCATCCATGGGTATGGACAGGCACTAGTTGAGATGCAATGTTGCAAAATCAGGAATGAAATGACACACTCTAGATTCATACACAAAAGTCAAAAGTGGATCGTACGGCAGTGGAACAAATGTCCCCCCTTTGGGGCCATTTTTTCCTACTTACCACCTGGGGCCTTTTTTTCCGGGTACATATTTTCCGGGGACATATTTTCCGGGGACATATTTTCCGGGGACATATTTTCCGGGGACTTTTCTTCCGGGGACATTTCTTCCGGGGACATTTCTTCCGGGGACATTTCTTCCGGGGACATTTCTTCCAGGGACATTTTTTCCGGGGACATTTCTTCCGGAACCCCCTATCCATGCCGCCAACGTTAATCACAGCCACACGCTGGGGTTGGAAAACTAGAAAACGCGTGCTAAGCTTTAGGCATTGTTAGAGTGCGGCTGTTCTCATCACCGCAGGGGTTGGACACGAGCCACTACCCGAGTGTCTGCCAAAGCATAGATTGTCATGAGCCGAAGTCGAGTGATCATGCAGTTCTTGTGTCCAATCCATGAGCCACCCTCCACTGTCGTCAGGAGGGCAGTTTCAATCCCACAATTATGCCACCAAGCTTTGCGACGGCAAGACTGAACAAAATGGTCCCCTTTTATCTTCGCAATTTCACCGCAACCAAGAAGCTTCTGAATCAGTGGCAGTCGGTGCGAGTGTACTCGGGCCAGACTGGGACCAGTACACCTCTGTAAAGTGATAAACATTCCAACCCAATATCGATTCATGACCCTTTTAAAACCACCAGATATGGCAAAAAGAATGTGATAACAGAGCCTTATTTTCTGCTTAGAACGGCCGACTGCAGCAACCACTTTAAAACAAAAATGCCGATTGTTGGAGTATGTAGCGTGAACATCCATATTGATTATTTTATAGCCATGGAATCAAAGGTCATTCAAAAGCATTCCACTGAAATAATGCTGCAACAAAATACCTTTCAGTACAAAATTGGGTGTTGTGATCAAGTTCTCAAGATTGCAGCAAAACTGTGCATTTCTTAATTGTTAAAAAATAAGGCTTTCTTTATTTAACTATACATACGAATGACATCTTATGTGCAAAATTTTCTGGCGATACGAAATTTGTATGCGTGCAATGAACATGCCATCTGAACTTGCACGTTAATTAAATTAAACTTATTCCCAACCTTATATTCATACACCGCTAAAACTAACTTAGCTTTCATTTCAACTTTATTGATTGTACTTTCACAAGCAACATCTAGTCAATGTTATCTATTTCCTTAATTTTTACAATTGAAAAAAGGAAGAAAAAAGTTAAAAAACAAAACCAACGATGTTCATATCTACCGTAATATCCCGAGACATAGCCCACTTAAAATTAAAAGCAAATTGTGTAAAAATAAGGAGTCAACTATCTTTCAATGTGCAATACAAAAAGGTAAAAAAAAAAACACAAAAAAACGCTAGTTTTAAATTTTATGTTTTGCGAAACTTGTAATCTCAGAAAGGGGGGATGAACCAAAGTCTGCTGTCGTCCCCAGTCGGCAATGTTCGCTTCTCTCCCACCCTAACTAAGTAACATCATTTCTGCCAAGGTCACCATTGGCCAGGGCCCTGCAACTACTAGAAGTAAACTATCTTTCAATGTTTTCTAAAAAAAAAAAAAAAAGAGCAAATCGTGCCAAAATAGGGATAGGTTATCTTTCGGGGGTGAGGCATCTCTCAGGATATTACAGTAGTCAAGATGTTACATTCTGTAACGCTTACTGGCCATGGTTTTATTACAGTGGTTATTACAATGTTCACCAAGCTGTTTCTTCTTTTCTTCTTTTAGTATTTAAAGCGAGTCACCCCATTCTGGAGGAGCGCTTTCCCCCTACGCACGTGGCTGCACTGAGGCAAGTCGAGATGTGCCACATTACGACGTCTACACCGTGGGTGTAGCTTCTCCACAGTGCACCTCTCCACGGTGAGGAGTGTGTTCGACGAAGCGAAATAATCGCGTCCGAACAGGCCACAAACATGAGAAATGTTGCAGGACTCCCAAGTACACATACTATCGATGCTCAACAGGAAAATCAAATCAAAGAGTACATGTTATTTGAAGCAAATGTCCACGGCTTTGAAAATTCGCAAAAACCCACCCTAACCATTCGGCAGTGCAGAGGGGTCTGAGCTATTGGTTGCAGTAACGAGAAAGTGAAAACAACTACTTCCTCAATGTAGACGCAAATTTCTCACACTTTGGCAAACAGTAGCATAAAGTATGCATTTTCACGCAGTTTGGTAGAAATGGAACGGCAGTCATATCTCCTCTTTCCGTCAGAAATCGATTCCATAACCAATCTCTATGAACAGAACCAACGAGATTAATGACACATCCACTTCTCGTGTTCAAATGGTGGCCGGCAGAATCAAAATGCAATGCTTGTGTTAAGGGCCAACCGACGATCGCCAGGGTAAGCCAACATGAGGACTCTGTCGTGCGCGCTGTTCTGACGAGATATGATTTCACTCCAACAAAGAGTATCTAAGCCCAATGTGTCTTTTGTCCCTAAGCAAGCCAGTGTAAGTGTACGATGCTGGTAACAATTTAGCTCCAGCATCCACAGACTATGAGGATGATTTTCCCTTGTACATCGCACTAAAACAACTTACGTCATAATGCTAGTGATAGTCTTTCAAAATGTCCTCGTCGAGGTTCATACAAACCCCATTACTTAACAAACTAGCTCAGCTCATTCCCCTCATAAGAGGCATCTCCACATAAACGGTTTAGAACTGCTGGATTATCAGATTAATGGTGTCACACCATAAATTGTTTTTGAAATGGCCCCCTGTTGTTCCTCAGGCTAAATGATAGTATAACTAGGACCTCAACTCTCCAAGGAAACAAGAAGGTCTCCACCATTCCCCAGAAAGTGCTCACATTCAAAATACTTCCCGTTACCATTAGATAAATATATAATGACTATGCCAGCTGTAATGTTAGATGCCACCCTGCTCATTCAGGAATGAGCAGGGTGGCATGACTTTTCTTGCTTGCACTGTTCTTATATTTTCGTGCAATCTTTATTACACTTTTCTGCTGAGTCATAGTTGAGGAGATTGTTTGGCGGAAGCAAGGAAACGGAAACAGTTTGTGATAAAGAGACACTATAGCCGTGACAGTTCAAGAACTAAATGAAAACTCTTCACACCCTTTTCCGCTTCAGCGGAGTGAAAGGTAGAGCGTCCGCTCTACTAAAGTGGAAAGAGGTGGGAGGAGCTTCCACTTTGTTCTTGATGTGTTACCAACTATAGACAGCGGTGACGGAGGTCTAAGGCACGAACGAAGGGCTCAAGGTCGCATCCTTGATATCCTAGGTCGATAGAGCCACGACCTCGGTTGAAATGGAAAAAAGCAGATTACAAGACGTCTACTTGTTCTGTCAAAGTCCCCACTGCAAGTCCTTCCCTTCACAATGATTTGCTCGAAACCCGTGAGGGGTTTTTCGGCCTCCTTCGACAGATATTGGTGACGATGTCTGATCACACATTTGTTTGACATGACAGCACCACTTAAAGGCCTCTCGTCTGGGGCAAGCCCCGTAGGCCGCCGTAGGCAACCTGAGGTGCAATCCGGTGATCTGTCACAAAACAGTACTTCAAGGAAAACTCACCACTGGTAGGCACTGTAGTGGAAGTAGATCAGGCCAAGGCCATAGAGGAAAGGTTCGTCCTGCAAAATGAAAGGGCAACACCACAAGTCAGTGTGCAAAGCTAGAGCAATAAAATGCATGCTCCTCTCAATCTTCAGAAAGATGAAAAGATGCAACCAGTGGCACCTTGCACGACACCGCACATGTCACGTGCTGGTATATGAGTCGACAAAAGTGGTTGCCCACAGTGCCATTTCAAAGGATGCAGACATTATGCACTTCATCTCACAAGTTATGTGTGGACTATCAAAGATGCAGGTGAGGTGGGAGAGGGCAGCACTGCTAAATGCTTCGTTCGCACGATCACTCACGCCAAAAGAAAGAAAACACTTTCTGAAACTGCTTGTTTGTGTTTGTGACTAACGCAATAACTAACTAGAGTAACTGTAAGGGCTGCCCCAAACTTACGAAATGGAGTGTAACAACTTCTACCCTAGTAATGAGAAAACTGAAAGCAGTCAGTTGTTGCTTGAAACAGAGGAATCTTGATTTTAGAAGTCTATAGAGGCTGCTTGCTCAATGATGAAAAATTTGATGAATGCCTGATCTGAAAATTTAAGGTTGGTAAACCTCGGCTGCCATCATCAATCCATAGATGAGCCAACTGGCTCTCAAGTCTGCATAAGAATTCATTGTGTCATTGGTGAATCAACTGCATTTGTTATCGCAAGAGTATTGCATGAATGACAATGATCTAAAATAATTCATATCATCCAAAAACTTCAGACTGAAGCTTTAATCAGTAAAAGAATAGGAGCTTACGATGAGAACCAAGAGGTAGAAAATTAAGAGAGAAAAAACACTAGAAGGCTAAGAAAGATAAATAGGGCAGTGTGGATATGAGTTGGCAAAGTGATACCAAAATATCAGTGAAACATGGCAGAAAGAGTAATCTGAAATACAATGGCTTGGTCAGCCAGCTAAGAAAAATTAATAGGACATATAGGTTTGTACAAACATATAGCAAAAAAAGTGAAAGCCGTTTACAACTCCCTGTAACGCCGAATTGGAGCGCAGCTCTTGAGGAGGAGGAGTGAAGGGTACTGAGGGGAGAGCAGACCCCTCGTCCTTCTCCTCCTCCTCCCCTCATTCTTTAATATGCTCGGGGGGGGGGGGGGGGGGGGGGGGGTGTCACGTGACTTTGGGGAGGGGGGTCACGTGACCTCGGGGAGGAGTGACCTGGGGGGTCACGTGACCTTGGGGGGTCACGTGACCTTGGGGTGTCACGTGGGGGTCATGTGACCTTGAGGCGACCTTGGGAGGGGTCACGTGACATCGGGAGGTCACGTGACCTTCGGATGACCTTGGTTACGCCGACGGCGACGTTGCTCAAGCCGGAAACAGGCGCCTAAGAGCTGCGCTCTAAAAAGAAGGACAACAAGAAAGGGTCACTTTTAAAGGCCGACGTACAAAGTTCTCCAAAGAATGGCTCAAAGTCCTCACCTGATTTGCATTACACCCATGCTTCTCGTCTCCCCAATGAACATTGGGGAAATTGGGAAGCAAATTAATCAATCAGAATTTGTCCGAAGGAAAAAAAAAAGAGAACCACAAGGGGGGGACATAGCCCTTTTCAGGTTGTGCATCGACCTTTAAGAACTAAGGAACTAAAATGTACTTGGAACATTAAATTGTTCAATATTCCTAGAACTGACATCAGGAAACAGTGTTTTCTTACCTTCCAGTGATCCTCCTTAATTGCATAATATTTCTGGTATGCAGAAAGGGCTGAAAGAAAAAGAGAGCTGTATTACACTAATTATTGAGGTACAAAAAATGGTGGAAATATAGTGTGTTGTTTAAAATGACCTTGTAAGAGGGTATGCCCCCATGTCAAGCAGTAAATAACATTCTCTAGCTGGCACGCAGGCAGTTCCATGGAATGTCCACACTCTTTATGCGTACGGCTGTGGTGCTCCCTTCAGCCTCCTCTTTGCTTTTAAGGTGACCACCACACATCATCCCAATTTATTTGCACCACTATATCAGTGTGCGTAAATCTATCTCATGTTTCATTGATCCCCAGTTAACGCTCGCTTTTATGCAATGAAAACAACTGATGGTACGAGTCATTCACCTCTCTTTCAGCAATAACAGGAAGAGACAACACTCTAATGGCAGGCAAAGTCTGCCTTCTGGCCACTTATCGAACTGCCTTCCACACTGTATCCTTTGTGCGATTCTTGCTTCTACTGGAAGCATGGACTGTGTATAAGTAACTTCATTTGCATTTGGTGAGACTTCTTCAGCTTGCTGCAGTTACAGTGGACTCACAATGATTCAAACTCAGATATTTCATACTTCTGGTTGATTGAAACGAATTTCAAAGTATTGGTTGTCCCACAATGCTTCCAATGTACTTATAAGCCGCTTAATTCGAATGGCGTTTTCGTGTAATTGAAACTTTATGATTCCGTAGCCCCGTTGAGTGCGCTTCTTTCCGAGCACCGGTGCACTGCAGAGAGGCAACACCCAGGGAGCTTGCTTCCGTGGGTGTTGCTGCTCCGCAGTACACCGGTGCTCGGCGAGAGGCGCAGCCAACGGGGCTCCAGCAGGGCACACATGAGCTATGAAAACAAGCACCACGCAGAAACTTCAATTGCAACTCGCGCAGCCGCTGTGACGTGGCAGCATTGCATAGGTCCACATCACAGCGTCCGCGCAAATTGCTAGGAAAACTACAGCGCGTAGCCCGTTTTCATCGCTTGCGTGTCCCCTGCATAATAGTCCACATTACCGTAAAATACCAAGCAAGCGCCCACTCAAACTTTAGAGATAATCGTGAAAAAATCGGGGATGGGCCCTTCTTCGATCATCAATTTTACATATAAATGTACTTTGTGTATTTTCTCAGATCCTACAAATTTGGGAATGGGCGCTTAGTGTGGTGTGGGCGGATGCACGGTATTCTACGGTAGACAATTTCTTGGCCTGATCAACAAACCTGATTTTGTTTCGAGTTGTCATGCACTGTCTAAACAGTTCACGATATACAACAGTTTTGAGGGATAGATAAAGTTACTGTAAAATACAGCTGAAGCGCCCACCTCGTTCAAGTGCCCATTATGAACATTTCTCAAACTTGGGAATTCTGCAAATTATACGCTAACCACCCGATTTGACCGGACAAGCGCCCATGTCAACATTAACCCCATCTTCAGTAAACGTTAGGGGGGCGCTTCCCCGGTATTTTACGATATGTCATACATTTCACAAATGATACATGTGTGACATACCTGTTTATGATCAGTAATCCCATGTAGAGAAAATTATCAAGTATCTGCTTTGTATGTGTAGCCATTCATATGGCAAATCATAATTTTATCTTGCTCCATGTTTAGATGAATTTTTGATAATTCAAACAAAATGCGTAGCTTCCTGGAGTTTGAATTAATCAGCCTACAGCATATTGTTGCGAGCGTCTGAGCTCGTGGACAAGACGGGCACTCCGGAATTCAGTCCCCAGTTACACACACAACCTCTTCTTCCTCCTTTTCCTTGCCCGTTACACTCGCCCCTTCCTGTTTGGAAGTCCGTCCCGGACAATACCAACATAGTCACCACGTGCAACATGAAGTTTCAGATGACTTGAATGGGCTGTCAAAGTGTGGTGTCGCCCTCGCTGAGGCAGGGTGTCAAGGTTTTCAAAAGAGTACATCATGGGTCCAAGTTGCCTGCTGATCTTGAAAGGTCAGCAGTATCTGGGCAAAAACTTTCCAAACTACTGAGAAAGTCTTAAATGCCTTTGAAGAAGCACCACATCACCTGGTGAAAATGACGGCAATGAGCTGCCTGTTTTGTGACATTCTGCAAACTTCGATTGCTTATTTAGAATTGCCAGCCGAGCAAGTTTTCTTGCTACACTTAATTGTTCAGCGAAGTTCTGTTCACATTCTCGCGCCCGATGGGTCCATGCAACACCCATCAATAATCCCTGCGGAAGTGTCGGGAGTCTTCCATAAACTAGTTCATATGGAGATTTGGCGGTCACTTCCTGTCGTGAAGTATTCAACGCTAATGCCGCTGCACCAATGACCGTGTCCCAGTTCTTGTGAGATGTATTACCGAGCACAGCTAATATATCTCTAAGCTGTGGTTGGTATGCTTTACAAGGCCATTTGTTCGAGGATGGTGCGGTGAAGTGGCTGAATGTTCAACCTCCTTATCTTGCAAAGAACAACCGAAAGTTTGGGACATAAATGACGTTTTTCGGTCAGATATGATTAGGCGGGTTGCACCATGCCTCAATACAAGGTGTTTGTTGATAAAGGCAACGAGATGCACAGCTGTAGTATTAGGACTTTTCAATCCACTTTGTCAGGTAGCCCATTGCGACAATGACATACTTGTTTCCATCATCAGATTTTGGAAACGGCCCCAGGTAATCAATTCCAACAACCTCAAGCAGGCTGCCTAGAGGAAGTATCTGCTGTAGCTCGATCTTTGCCAGGTGTGGGGGTGCTTTCCGCAGTTGGCATGTTGCGCAAGACGCGACGTATTGTCAGACATCCATCCTGAGGTGCGGCCACCAAAATCTCTTGGCGACTTTGTCGAGTGTCCGGTGTTGCGCGAGATGACCCGCAGTTAAAGTATCATGGCGCATGTCGGAATGTTCCGACACATTTTAGGGGGAACGACGGAGAGCCACTGTCCTGACGGATGAGCTCGATGACACAGCAGATTGTCCGAAAGCTGGTAGTACCCTCACAAATGCTGTAAGCGACGTTCTGAAAGTTGCAGTCTTCCGTGCACTTCGTCAGAGAGCAACTGGTATGTCGAATCCATCATGCTCCTTACTTGCGCAGACTGCAAATCTAAGAGCGCGAGTACCGGAGCAACTCTGGTGTCGTCTGTGGGGCGCCGTGAAAGGAAGTCTGCGTCTTGGTGCTGCTTCCCACTTCTATGAACGATCGGAAAATCCAACTCTTGCAATTTCATTGCCTACCGAGTCATTTTCGGCGTAAGATCGCTCTTTGACTGAAGTCAACGGAGAGCAGAGTTATGTGGCACGACTGTAAAATGCTTTCCGTAGATGCATGGAAGGAATTTTTCCACTGCCCAAACAACAGCGAGGCACTCGAGTTCTGAAGACTGACAGAGACTTTCTGGTTCGCTGAGTTGGCGGCTCGCATACATGACGGGATGTTCTACTCCTGCACTGTCCCTCTGGAGAAGAACAGCACCAAGCCCTTTGCCACTGGCATTAGTGTGAATGAATGTCAGTGCGTCTTCAAAAAGTGAGCCAGAGTTGGTGGTTCAAGAAGTGCTCTTTTGATATCAGCAAAAAAAGCTTGCTCCCTTGCATGCCACCCCCCTGCGGATTCTTTTTTAAGAAGCTCAGTCAGAGGAGCAGGTCACCGTTCGTCAGGCTTCAAACTGGAAGCATCAAGCTCCCCTTCTAGCAAGAAACAAAGCAGCAAGGTATAGCGAGTTCTCTCCCAGGACAAAATTGTAGCAGTGATTCAACTAGGATATTTCTTGGCGTCATTGAACCTGGGGTTATGGCTGTAGCCCAAACTGCAAATAACTTAGGTACAGCAATGTCTGATGCTGCGACAATATGGAACACCTTCTCTAGTTTGCCATTGACCATTAGTGTAGACACAAATGTCGTAGCTGCTGTGACAGTCGAACATACCTAGGCCACAGCGGCCTCCGTCAGGTGTTTCGAGCTGGACCATGATAAGGCAAATTCATCAACTAAGTTCTAAGAATTCCACAAAGTTGTTTTTTGTTTCTCCCGCTATCTTCAAGGGGCAACTCTGCTGCTGACCAACTAGACTGATTGCCAATACTCAAAGTCGGTGGGGTTGCCAAACAATGTTCAGCTCCTCGAAACGATAGAGAGAGCTGGACTCTTGAACACCTGTCGCAGCCAAGCATCCTTGACCATTGTAACTTGCGCACTATTACAAAGGGACGCTTGACTTGCCCCTCAGGTTTATACAGTTAACAAGATCTGTCTGTCGTGTTCGATTGTAGAACCGTTGGCAGATATAAGACAGACGGTACCAGGAAGTGTTTTGGGCATGGTGCAACTTCATTGATTGCAACAAAGCAGAATCAATTAGACTTACTGCGCCTCCCGTGTTGACTACCGCATTCATATGTCCCTCTGGTGACATTGCCCCCAGAGGGACAGGATGCACTACATGAGATTCAACCTTGCCAGGCTCGCTGTCACTGGGAACTTTTGGAATTGGTACAGGTTGGGTCTTGCACGGGGCCAAGCATTTTGGGCGGGATCGAGCTAAGTGCCGAATGTCCCCCGCACGTGAAACAACGACATCTACTTGAATGAATCGAAGAAGATCGTAGAGCCAGATCCGGAAGCTGGATTCGAGATGTTGACACCATGTCGCTTGCTTTGTTGGCTGCTTGAACTTTGAGTGTGCGAGTCAGCGCTGCACGAGTCGTGGTTGCATGGGCGAGTCTTACAAAAAGCTGAATGTCGATGTCTTCGATTGCATTGATGAAGGACGCTGTTGCTATCTGCTCCACGTATACTTCCGTATATTCGACGAGCACTCTTCTCGCCATTCGCAGGATTACGTCAGCTAGCTCTTGAAGCATGTCCGTGCTGTGGCGGTGGTGTTTTAAAGCAGTCAGCTGAAATTGCTCGAGAAGTTCATCACCAAACTGGGACTTTAGGGCTTTTACAAGTAGCTGATATGAGGAACGACTTGTTGCAGACATGCTCTCCAAGCACGCAGCAGCGTGAACCCTCGACTGGGCCACCTTTGTACAAGCTGTAGACGTTGCGTCGAACACGCAGAAGTCTGCAACGGTTTCAAATTAGATGATGAGGGCTTGCCAAAACGACTGCCCATTGAATGCCGGCAGCTTGAGTGGTAATCCGTGGTGCTCAGTCTGTTGAACCCGAGATTCCACGGACGAAAGGCTCTTATTGAGGCATTGCCTAACATCAGCAACCTGATGTCCGACCGCAATTTCCAACAGAGACAGACAGGTAACGAGGCAATTCTTGAGGGCTCCAAGCAGGTCCACAATGTTCGTAGCACTCCTTGCGGCGAGCAGATTAACTAACCGCTCCATGATTTGCATCGTCACAGAAGTTTACATCATGTCACTTTCCTCCGATTGAGTTGCCATTTTGTAGTCCCATCGCTGCCACCAAAATTTTGTGGGCATCTCAGCTCATGGGCAAAACGGGCACCCTAGAATACAGTCCCTAGTCCCACACACGACCTCCCCTTCTTCCTTTTCCTCGTCCGTTACAATATTCATTTCATTTGAAAGCTAAATGTGTTCACGTGGATTTCCTTATATAGGAACAAATTAGTTTTGCTCAGATTTGCATGCACTACATAGTAGACATGTTCCATTTCAAGCTGGCTTCCTTTTTTAATTTTTTGCGCTATTTCTTTTTTTAATTAACCGCGCATGCATGACTGCCCCCATTTTGTTTTGCCTCGCGCATAACCACTCCTACAGAAGTTCCGTTAAAGTGTAACGGTACTAAAAGAAAAAAGTAGAATAATACAAAACTTTAAGGCCACTCTAATAGCACTCTGTCTGCTCGTAGCTACAATTTAAGCTGACGGCAAATTCGAGTACCGTATTTACTTAACTAATAGCCGCACTATGGCCCTTTCGTCTACTTTACCGCAGAACACATACAGAGCCAATCATTGCGTTGCACATAAATAACATAGCAAATAACCATATTGAGAACGCGATTCTACATATAAATGCAATCTTCACGGATGGTATCTTTGCGCGAAGCCGTTATCTCTGTCCTGTAAACCGTTGGAATCATGCTGCCGATTGCGGTGATTGGCAAGCCGCATGCTCTGTGGAAAAGTGAGCTGTCAGGTTTTCTTCATAAACAGTGCGGCTATTACTCGAGTGAATACGGTAATGAAGTGTAGTACTTCTGTGGGCATGCAAACTACTATGGTCAATGCGAGCTTAAAAGAAACACGGGGCGCATTCAGTCCCGAGCACCTCATCGTCATTCCTAAAGTTGGTTACAAGTCAAGAAGGTAGGAAAGCTCCTCCTATAAGCGTGATGCGCCCGTTTCAAATTCATCCGCAGTCGAAAAAATAGTTCCCTGGAAACGCCCCTTGTTCTGCTTCAAAGAACGGATAATGGCTAAAGAGTGATGCCAACTTGTCTCTGACCCCCACTTTTTAAGAAAGCGACCTTTGTATTCATCGGAGGGGAACCTAACCCCCCAAAGTCGTTTTTGTTTCCATCGGAGGAGGGAAATTCTAATCTCTCTCTCGTGGTTTCCACAACTCTAGGTCGAAAGATAAAGTAAATATTCACAAGACGGCACAACACTCTCCCGTGTTGGCCACGACGTCACGGAAACGATGGGACGCTATTGGATGTGGAGGTGGCGGAGGGATATATGAATCCCTTTAAGGGGCATTTGCCGCTACCTTCTTGACCTGTAACTTACTATAGTCAGCAGGACTGAAGCACTAGCCGATAAAAGTGCCGGAAAATAAATCACCGAAGCAAGACGCATGAACATAATTAGCCCTACCCTGCAGATCTCAAGCTGTCACTGACTCTTTGCAAAACCAGGGACCAGCCGTAATACATTACAGCCAAACCAAAGGGTTAGTGTGATCATCTAGAAAAGAATGTCCCACGCATTGCGGCCGCCCTGGGATGGCAGGGCGTGGACGCGGATATTGGTCGCTCCATCGGTGGTCCCGACGGGCACGGATTACTGGCAATGCTTTAAAATGCTGTAAACGACTTAATTTTCGCGAAGTTAGCATATTGCCTGCAATTCGCAAAAAATAGGTCCAATCTTGGTAAAATTTAAACACATTGGAATCTATACTGAGATCCCACTGCGTCAAAAAAATTAGAGCCCGCGAATTATTCCAAAACTTCAGCTTTTACCTAAATCGCGAAATATTGAACCCGTGAAAAATAAGTCCTTTAGGGTATACGGGCAAGCAGAAAAACGTCGCTCGCAAGGCTTGCACTAGATGCTTTTCTAATTCTATCTTGTACTTCCCAGTGAAAAAAAGAAAAAGCCGTTGCGCATTGTATAAAAAAAAATGAAGCTGACGAGCGCTCAAAAAACTTCAAGTCGTCGAATACTTCCCACCTAACGGCTGCTCTCTTTTTTGCTCTTTTGTCTCACTCCCTCTCTCCCATTCTCTCTCGGGACAACCAATGTCAGCGCTTCCGATTTACCGCGTTTCGCACCCGTCTTTAGCCCCCCGAGCCAAATGACGCTTAAACAGCAGACACGCACCCTTTGCATAGTCCTCCAGGAGAAGCTGGAAGTGTCCCAACTTGCAGTACGTCTTGGGATCCAGGTCCTTCATGCCCAGCAGAGGGGCCACCATCCCCGCCACCAGATTGGCTTTCCGCTCGGGGTCCTTCTTCGGTGCGTCGGCGTTCTTCAAGTCCGATGGCGAGACCCCGTCTCCCGGCACAACCCCCTCCGCCCCTTGTGCCGCAGCCGCGGACGTGCGGCTGGCCACCTCGCGGTCACTGCTTCCGGCATCTGCGCCCTCGGTGCGCTTGTTCCGCTGCTGCTGGTGACTGATCAGCACCTGCTCGAGGTGACGGACGCCCTGGCAAGATGGAAGGGTAAAAAAAAGATTACTTCAGTGCACCAATCGCAGTTACGTATGGCGAGCAAGTGCTCCAGAACAAGTGTATGGCACATTGGAACGTAAAGAGGGTAGGGCCAAACAAAGGAAAACAGCGAGAATGTATGTAGAATGCGCAATGAAGAGGCAGCTTTGCGCGCGCTGTGATTACTTGAGATTGAGGGGAAGCCAAAGTGAATGGGCGGATTTGGTGGCTCAAGAAACACACAAGGTGCGTAAACAGCAGAAAAACTGTCATGCTGTATAGAGCGTGTAAGGAGTTAGGCTTAGATGAAATGCATGCTGCGGCCTGTAAGTAGGGTTCCGTGTTGTTGGAGTTTATTTTTCTTCAAATACAGGGGGCGTTTATTCTAGGTTTATTTCCTTCGACAGATGCCGTACCTACTCTCGACAACGGACAAAAAAATATTGGCACTTCTCAAAGCTTGTGTCAAAGAGAACAGGACATGGGCTTCCCAAACCCTGAGAGGACATGCACATTACCCAAACACTCGGCAAACATCCTGGAACTGGCGAGAGAAGGAAACGAGGTGAGAGTTGTGGTTGCCGATGAAAGAAGCAGGCTCACAGACCGTTCAGTGAGGGCTGTCTACCGGGTCAGCCCGAAATACGGGTGCTGTTTAAGGTTACTTCCCCCGAGGCTTGGGTACTTCTTATTAAAAGGCAGCTCCAATTTGAGGCTTTCAAAGCGATAGCTTTACAGGCGACACTTTACAGAGATTCGACCTCGTAGGTTGTCATCGCTGCTACGAAAAAACCCTTCTGTCTGCTCTTGGTGCGAAGCCAGGGAGGTCGGGTTTTGGGCTTCCCCGCCGGCTACTTAGAAACTGAGATGCATGCTGCGGCTTATAAGTAGGCACCAGTTCCGTGTTGTCGGGGTTTATTTTTCTTCAAATACAGGAGGTGTTTATTTGAGGTATTTCCTTCGACAGATTCCGTGCCTACCCTTGACAAAAGACAAAAAAATAGCACTTCTCGGAGCTTGTGTCACAGAGAACGGGACATAGTATTCCAGTAACGGTGCTACGAAAGGAGAGTATTGTGTAGTGTCTGCTTGAGAGACTTGTTTTCAAACATTACTCACGTTATACAAACTTTCAATTTGGCAGTGTCCAGTTGCTACGTGTAATATTGGATGGTTCTAGAAATTTCCACGACGCTTAATCACTTCATGCATTACCGAGCACTGGTCGCGGTTGTCAGTGGCATCTACGACCCCAACCACGACATCTATGAGAATTAACTACTTCGCACCTCCGTCCTCAGGTGCGTGATGGCACCACTCCACCCACATTGTGCGACCATGCTACAGCTCTCTATTACGTTCCTTCGCACATTGTGGGAGAAAAATACAACTTTTTTGTTTTTCTCTTGATTAAGCAAAAACCAGCTCTAAGGTTACTTTTCGGGGTTAATCAACACATACCGAAAACATGGAACCCTGAGCGCAAGTGACGAGGTGGCTAAAGCCTACTTCACACAGGAAAAGCTTCCCTGCAATTACGGCGTTGACGGGTTGTAGATTACTGCGACAAGAGTCACCGAGATTGAAACCGACGACTGCAGCGGTGAATCTCATGAAGGTTTGAGGAGGAAAAAACTGCTCGGGGCTGCAGTGTTGCATAATTTTGTGTTCATCCAGTGCGAGAAAATTGCGTTTTTCACGACAACAACAAAATGTGACATAACGCAGTTGCAAAGAAGAGCAGAGTTGCAGCTGTTCCAACGTCAAGACGTTGGCAAAGGGTGTGCTCGCGTCAGGCCAGTATAACAAGTTTTCAGTTTGTTGGGTCCTCCCAAAGACATAAGCCGCTTGCCACACGCAAAAAGAAAGCACTTCTAGATGCACATCTTAGAAATATGCTCCCTAACTTCTAAGCTAAAATGACCCGCTGGAATATTTTGTCACCACTTGTGTGTCGTAAAAAAACAAAATTTCAATGAGGGTAGATCTTAGTGAATACATTTTAACAGAACCAAAGTGAAGGGTTTGGTATCACACAACAGTCAGTAATACCTAATCCCCCCTCTTTTGCACTGCTACGATGCAAATCTGAAGGGAGTCTCAACCCTGTCTTGACTGCTGGCAAAGGATTGGATGCATTCCTTTGACAGCAAACCACACTGCGACCTGCTAGTTGATACACACAGAGCCCACGGACAGGGGCAGCCTTTGGCAATACGAGTTGGTCCAGTTTAGTGCTAACCTAAAGGGGTAAAATGCCACATGGGATGCATCCGACGCGGTAGGCTATGCAACTGACTGTCACGCTGCAAAACTAGGAAACATGTCAGTCTTTTCAAACCTCTTCTTAACGAGTTAGCTGACCTAGGAATCCCCGCATGGCATTTGTGCCAACCCGACCCGAACGCCACTGGGCCAACTTATATTGCTGCACCCTGTACTACTCGTAATTGCACATTTTCGTTCAGTGTATTATTGACGCCGAAGCACTCAAAAACTAAACGGGGTATTCTACCCAATGCAAAGAGAGCCGAGCACAAACAGGCACGCACCTTGAGGATCAGGGCTTTCTTCTTGAAGTTCTCCGGCGTGTTCAGCTTCAGAAAGCCAAATAGACGACTGAAAGTTGACAAATATGTCTAAGTAAGAACTTCATACTTATATCACATTACAACTGCCAAATTTCATCTCACTGCAAACATATCACGCCAGAACACATGGTTTTAAACATCTTTTTTTTTTGTGCATACTATAGCAGAGTAGAATTGATTAAAAGCAGAAGTGGTGTGCCATGAGAATGTTGATGTGTTTTATAATGCACTGTGCCCCTCTGCATTGAGGCCCAAGAAGTGCTGCGTGTTTTTCTCGAATGAGAAATAAGGAAGAAAAAACAACCTGAATATGATTCGCAACACAAACTCAACCCCTTGGTGGTAGAGTTTTTTTCCCAAGAGATGTTTCCCAGTGGTCGGGTTTTGTCACCAAAAACATTAGTACAAAAAATAATCAATGCACAGTTTTCTTTTTTTAATTTAGCGGGAGTACATACAGTACTTGAGGGCTTTTCAGGATTAGAAGCATCAAACGAAAATATTGAAGGCGAAAAGTTGACACCTTTCTTCCATTCTGTTTCATTTTGACATGTCCACTTCTGCGACATTCCAGCAGTTTGGATTCTTAACAGGAGGTACTTTACAGAGCTTCTCTATCAGATGATGACCTCCCATCCTCTGAATTTAATTCCAAAAAGCGTTGGAAGTCTGAATTGAAAGAGCCAGTGTACATAATGCCACCAGAGCTCATATGTGAAGTGAGCATCATGTGTGCAAAGCATACAATTTGGAAACTACAAATTGCTCAGCACAGAGAAACACCGTGCGAATATAGTGTTCCTAGTTTGCCAAAGAAATGTTGAATAGCAACACCTCCTGTGATACGCACAGTTTCGTATTTAGGCTGTCACCTTCAACTGCGTAATCATCGCTGCACTTGTACTGTGGTGACCGTCAAAGGGTTAAAATGCGTTGCTTTCTCTGGCAACGCGTCAATACAAAATCCTGCATAGACCGGGTGTTTCCAAACTACTCGATCCTGAGAAAACCCTATTTCTTTTGATTTGATTGACACCTAAGGAGCCCTTCCCAATATCAGCATTGATGCAGCAGAGAAGTGCAGATGCTTACAGACCTTGTAAACAATAATGCACATCAAAGGGCAGCTCAGATCGCTAAAATAATGCTTAATGGCCGACCAACAAGCATAAAGGGGGAAATTCTCGAAAGGAAGAAACTCTCCCTTAATTCCTCCTTTTTATTCGAGAAAGAGGGTGGCACTCCTTTCTGCAGGGAGTAGCTCAGAGATTAACCCCTGTTGGTAGAGAAGGAGAGAAGAGTGGAGAGGGAATGGAGAGAAGGAAACTGGGAGCCGATTTTCTGCCCGGCAGAAGACGATTCTGTAAACTGGCTTTTAAAAACCGGAAAGACACTTCCAGGGTGTTCCTAAGAACCCAGGTTGAGGACCGATGTCATAGACAATACACCATGATGCTTTTCTTGCTTATGGAAATTGAGGCATTATGAAAGCCCCGAAATAGCTTATTTTTACGAATATTGAAATCTGTTGTGCCGGCAACATTGTCATTTTGTATATAGAGCATCCACATCGCGATAAAGATCAGATTTTGGGTTCGAAGCTTGCGGCGTACACATCTCTTCTTCGTGGTCGCTATGCCGGCGACCAGGCCTACAACATAATATTGGTGACGAGGAGAAAACCATAAAAAGCCATCATGAACTTCGGGCTTACGCCGCCGCTGCCGTTTCTGCAAACGCTAGGCCAGCCTCCCGTTCCGTGGCCGCAATGAGAACAAACGCTCCTCAGGTTTCTTGAGGCTTCTGGCGCGGACGAGTTCAAGGCGTCGCGGCGTGCAGCCATCCCTGCTGCACTGTCTTGGAGTGGAGGGACAACGACAGTACAATGTCGTGGCCACGTCGACCCCACCTCAGCAGCAGCCGACCACAGAGGCGGAAGGCAAGTCTGCGACTGCGGGTGCGACGGAAGAAAGCAAGCCTGCCTGTGGAGATACCACGGACGAGTTCACTACTACGCTGAAGCTCGTAAGGAGGAATTTTGCAGCCACAACTAACGTACTCGTTGAGCGACATCGATTCAAGCAGAGATTACAGCAGCCAGGCGAGCCGATGGAAGGATACATCACGAGCTTGCACGAGATAGCCGCCAAATGCAAGTATGATAGCACCACCGACGATGATTCGGGACCAACTCGTATCAGGCATTTTATCTTGCAGACTGCGGGAACGTCTGCTGTTCGAAGGGGCACCGCTGACACTAGAAAAGGCCGCATCAATGGCAACGCATTACGAGGACACCCAGCGCAACCTGAAAGAATTTGCAGCTGAGGGGGCGGTGCATCGCGTTACTGAAAAGTATAAAAAAAATAAAGAGGAGGTGACGGAGCGTCGTTGTTACTGTTGTGGCTGGGCAAGTCATGTGGCAAGTTCAGTGAGCTGCAAAGCGCGACGAGCTATGTGCCGGAAATGCAAAAAGACCGGGCACTTCGAGAAGGTTTGCAAAAGCACTACGACGCAGGGCCTGGACGTGAAAGAAATCAGCGAGACTATGAATTGTGACGTCGTACTTTAGGCGAAAACGGACAACGGACAACGTGGCATCTACGCCGATCCGGAAGTAGAGACATTGAGTCTGCGCTTTGTGGTAGACACAGGCTCTTCAGTGTCAATCATCACCGACGACATTTATCGCGAGCGACTGGCTCTGGCACCGCCGCCTGTCAACCTGCTGGACTATTCGGGCTGCAAGATCGAAGTGAAGGGACGATTCCTCGCCAACGTTCGCTACAAGGGGCGTTCGACTTGCGTACTATTTTATGTGGTGGCGAAGGGGACGACCCTCATCGGATTAGATGCAATCTGCAATTTACAACTTCAGATTGAAGGAGGAACCTTGCAATGACTGCACACGCGAACCGACGAGAATCCACTACCTGCTGACATGCAGAAACAATTCTCACACTTATTCACCGACAAGCTGGGTCTGGTGAAGGGCTTCACTCACCAGGTCAAGAGGCGGGAAACAGTTAAGCCCGTGGCGGCAAAATTGCGGCCGCTGCCTTTAGCATTGCGGGACACCGTGTCCGTGGAACTGCGCCGATTGGAGCAAGTTGGAATCATTGAACGAGTCGAAGCCTCTGAATGGATATCTCCAATTGTGGTCGTAAAGAAGAAGGACGGCACTATCAGACTGTGCGTAGATTTGCGTGAGCCAAACAAGGCCATTTTAGTGGATGGATTTCCACTCCCACACACAGAGGTAGCTTCGGCCCAGATCAATACAAGGACAACGAGAGCACCTCTGCTGAGGAGAAAGCCTGCCTGGCAGAGAGACTTTGTAATGAACTAACTATGTCACTGTTTTTTACTATCAGTTACACTTCCTTTTTATTTATTCCTTTGTATTTAGTTTTTTGGGTTGTTGTTTTTAGGGAGGGAATATGTTGTGTCGGCAACATTGTCATTTTGTATATAGAGCATCCACATCGCGATAAAGATCAGATTATGGGTTCGAAGCTCGACGCGTACGCATCTATTCTTCGTGGTCGCTATGCCGGCGACCAGGGCTACAACCTGGGTGTTCCTAAGAACCCAGGTTGATGACCCATGTCATAGACACTACACCATGATGCTTTTCTTGCTTATGGAAATTGAGGCATTATGAAAGCCCAGAAATAACTTATTTTTACGAATATAGAAATCATAAAAATAAGAGACAACAGTAAAGGTCAAGCAAACACATCCAAGGAATTCATAGCGCTGACGAGGAATGACTTATATTTCACTGGGTCACAGTTGGAATCCCGAGCAAGTCTCAGCCATGTCAGCTAGAACTGACATACGAAAAAAACGTGCAACTAGGTACGTGTCTCAGCACGTACACAAATGATCTTCCGACCGGTTCTCACAAAACATGGCTCATTCTACGCGTTATTTCACGTAGTCCGCGATTTTGGGGCGGTTCTGGCGTACCGATAGGACAGCAATAAGCCTAAACGCTTCTTCAAACCCAGAAATTACACCTAGTTGCGCTGGATCCGACCTAATCAGTTATGTACAAGTCCTCGAAGCACATGCCAAGCGAGTATCAAACATAAACACTTGACCCCCTCACCCCGGAAAGTGAACTTGACAGTCGTTCCATGAGCGACAATGAGCGACTTGTTAGCCGCGATCGCAACGGGACGTTGAAGAAATTTTTTAAATCGTGGAATGCGTTTTTCAAACTTTGTTCTAGTTTCCATGCAACAAACAATTGCCGACAACATGTCAAGCGAGAAGGGCGATCGACACGGCCGTCCTTGGGCCGGAAATAGCGACTTACCTATCAACTTCCGCCAGCAAAGCTAGTTCCTGGGGCGATATAGGCACGGTAACGAACTTCTCGGACTCAGGCAACATGGCAATTTCGCATGTTCTTCCCTTTTTCACAGCTTTATAAGGTTTCTTGCAGCTAACATAGTTACGGAAAGCGCACAGCTAGCATAGGCGTGCCGAAAGCCGCCTATGAACGTTGCCAGCTTGAACCGTGAAGTGGGCTATGACGAGCCGGTGACATCGAAAAGTGAAAAGAAAATCCTCTGTTTATATTTAAATATATATCGCTTACTGAAAAAAAATATAATACATTTATTAAAAATTTACTTCTAAATGCAATTTTCTTCAAATATTACGCTACAATTTAAAACTGCAGAAACCGAAACTAAAATAATTAATGGATAAATAGCAAGAGCTGCACACTTTATAAAGAACGGTAGCTTGCCCCACCTAGCATAACAACAAAATAAACCACGCTTATTTTCTTTAAAGCCCTTTTTTCTAACTTTTTCTGTAGCATGTTGCAGGCTAATAAGGTAGGGCGAGGGAAAGGGAGGTGGAGGAGGAGGAAGCAGACGCAACGCTAGCGAAGGGGTATCCTACTTCCCCCGCCAGCGTTGCGTCCATTTCCTCCTCTCACACTTTCCTT